TTTTTTTTTTATGGGCTTAACAGAAATGTTATAAGGAGTTAAGCACATATAAGTAATTTTGTTTTAATGGAAAATAAGGTTAAAATAATACGTTATTTACAATATTACAGAAAATGGAGAAAGATGGAAAGGATTTGCTGAAACAATTAATAGAAGCGGAACACAAAAAGGGAGGTGTGAGGAGGTCGAGGAAACAAGGAACGAAAGATTGAGTATGGAAAAGAGAGGATGTATGTTTTTAAATTGTTTTTGTTTTGGGAAGTGGGGTTTGTTTAGTTTAGCTTAATGTGTTTAGTTTTGAGTTTAGGTTGTGTTTTGTATTGTTTATATATTGTATTGTATTGTGTGTTTTTTTCTCTCTCTCTTTGTTTTTTTTTTCTTTGCTTTTTCTTTTGTTTTTTCCTCTTTTGCTTTTTTTCCCTCTCTTTTTGTAATCTATAAAAGTAATAAATATTATTTTTTAAAAAATAATAATATCCTTTTCTGCCAACAAAGCCAAGCCGCAAAGATTAAAAGAAAATAATCTAAAAAATTCTTTAAAAACACTATGGGGTGATATGGCAAATAACCCATCTACGGTTACATATGAAAGAATACAACAACCAACATTAGAACTGAATAATATACTAGCTCAAAAAATTGAGTTCAGCCTACTTAGTCTAAGACAAATATATTGGGAACAGGGAGGAAGACTGACAAAAATTCTAGCTAATCATCTAAAACAAAAGAAAGCGAACCAAATAATACCCTTAATAAGAAATGAAAATAACATCGCAGCAACCTCATCAGTAGATATCAATAATGAATTTTTAAAATTCTACAAAAAATTATATGAAGGGCCAGAAAATAAATCAGAGGAGGTGGAGAACTTCTTTCAATATATTAAAATACCAACTATTGAAGAAGATCAAAAAGATATGCTATCAGCACCCCTAAATATATCAGATATTGAGACTGTAATAGAAACAATGGGGAATGGGAAATCACCTGGACCAGACGGTTTTCCTATAGAATGGTATAAAATATTCAAAAATCGACTAGTCCCCAGACTTTTAGAAGTCTATGAGGAAATAGCTCATAAAGGTATATCTGCTACAACATTCAATGAAGCTTTAATAATAATTATACCAAAACCTAACAAAGACCCTACTAAATGTGCAAATTATAGACCAATATCATTAATGAATGTTGATGCAAAGATTTTGAATGCAATATTGGCGGTAAAATTACAAAAAGTTATTCAAGACCTGATACCTAATAAAGCCTTTCCTCCTCCCAGGAAGGGAAGGGGTTGTGATCGGGAGACGATTTCTGCGTCATGCAGGGGGTGCTCCGCCTCCCGCTTCAACTCCAGGGCTGGTGTGCCATGCCCCTCCCCAGTTGGGCACCCAATAGGGAAGCTCGGTGGGGGCGTGGCTTGCTGCTCAAATGCAGCCGCGGCAGCCATCCCCACCATTGCACACACATTTTCTTCGAGTCAACAGGGTCGTCTTCGTTGCGGTCAGCAGAAGCCAGGGAAGTACTTGCCACGAGGTTTGGCCACTCTGATCGCTTGATTGTGTGTGCAGAGCAACTTTGTGTTGCTAGTGTGTGTGCTTTGTGAGTGTGTGGTTGCCTGTGTGTTTGTTAGCTAGCGTGGGTGCTTGGAGAGAGTGAGAGAGTGACTGACTGCTGCATCTTCTCCTGCAATTTGCCTTTTAAAAAATTGGAAGCACCAGGGCAGTAAAAACACTGGGGCAGTAAAAAACGCCTCCAAAAGCCCCATTTTTTTTTTGCTGGGGCTGCCGCTAGGCTTTGGAAGCCCTGAACCCCTGCCTTGTTCTAGAGGGACCTTTGAGGTTTTTCCTTTAGCTTTAACCCCCCCCCCCCTTCTAGCGTTATTCCCTATTGCTTTGGAGGTAGGGGGCCACTGCTCCTATAATAACGGTTGGCTTCTCTCTTATTTTTACCAGTTTATGTTCATTCTCGGTGTTGTAAACTGATTGCAGGCAGCCACACGTGTGTTTGAGCCTCCCCCCTTTTCTTTTATCCCTCTCTCTCATCACAGAGAAGTGATCCCTACGTTCCTATTGCATCTTGCCCGTGTTAATTGCTGCCAGCAAACTCCTGCCTGCTTTATTAGTTGTCTGACTTCATTTGTTGTTGCCACATATATCCTTTCAGGGGGACAGTGCATTGCTACTAGCTTGATCTTATCAGGGGAACAGTGTCAGACTTTAGTTTTGCAGCTAGCTAAATCTTTGCAGGGACAGAGTGAGTGTGATGTCATAGACTTTGCATATTCTTAAAATAAGCAGCAGCGCTAAAAAAACAACAACCAACAACAACAAAAAACTCCGTTGCTAGCATTTCTGCCTGGCCCCCAGCTTTCTCCCCAGTCTCGGCACTGTGGTTTAAATTTTAAAGTTCCAATTATCCTCCCAGGCTACGTGCGAAGGTTTGGAGCATATGTGTCAAAGCTGCCTCAAGTCTCAGCTCACAAAAGACCAACGCCTATGTCTTCTTATATACAAAGGTGTTTATTGCAGTTCATGGTTTGCTTGACATCCTAGGCGCGCAGCCTTACATCTCTTACGCTTAGACCGCTGAAGTCCCCTCTGAATCCGTCCCTCCCCTGCACCAATTTAAGAGACTTGCGCTGCTCCACCTCTTTCTCTCCTTCCTTTTCCGCAGGGTCCTTCTGCCCGCTGGGGTTTCGCCCCTCCTGGATTCCTCTGACGCTGAATCCCCAGACTGCTCTTCCCCCTCCTGCGGGCTTTGGGACCTGGCCCCTCCTCCGGGCTCCCTGTACTTCCGCGCGCCTCTACATTTGAACTAGGCGCGCGCGCCAAACCTCTAACTTTCCTTTTGACAGTTACACTACTCCCTTCACTGCTCCCCTCCCCTTCCGGGAGGGCGGCGTGCTCTGACCTCCCTCCGTTCTCTGCTCCCGGAGCTGCTTCCTCTGACACACTGGAAACTCCACCCCCTTCGCTGCACTCTGGTGGGGAGGCTGGTCCTGACGCCCAGCTGCCACTTTGGGATCCCCGCTGGCCCCCTGCTCCTGACACGTCCCCTGGGGCTCCCTGGCCTTAACCACCGGCGCCCTTCTGGGAATCCTCTGATTCGCTGGAAAGACTCATGGAATCTCTTGAGTCATTGTCATCCTCTTCCTCGCTGGCTTGGAATTCCTCCCCATCGCTCTCCATCTCCTGCCTACCCTGTGCCTCTCTCCCTGAACCCCTGACAATATGATAGAAAAAAATCACCTTTGCTTCCTCCTCCTCTCCTAGTGCGGGACAAAAGTATAAGCTGCTTTACCCGGGCAGCAGGACTTGCCAGGCAGCCACCTAGGGGTTTAGTTGTGCAGTGTTTCATTTACTGAGGCACCTGGGGCAGCAGTCACCTTATCTACTGTTTAGTTTCCTTCCGCCTTCATACTTGATCATTTAGCCGGCAGCCCACTATCCCCCCTCCTCCAGCCGATTTTGGCTAGCCTCATTTTACATTCTTGCTTAGCTAAGCAACAGGGTCGCTTCTCTGTATAATTCTCGGGTTCAACTGAGGCATCAGTTAATTTAGTCAGATCTGCGGCTCCCTATTGTGCTATTATTTTGTTTGTTTCCCCTTCTCCTTGCCTGTTCTGCTCTGCGCAATTCATAAGGACCCTCCTTTAAGTTTCCTCTTTGTGTACCCCCTTTATTTTATTTTATTTTTCATTTCGCTTGTGATCTAGCCCCCGCCCCCGCCTTTAAAAAAGTTTTATTTCCTTCTTTTCGTCTGACTCATTCTGCTGCCTGGCTTAAGAAATGCCTTCACAATTGTCCTGGCTTCCAGGCAGGATACATTGTCGCTTAACAACAGGCAGTTCGTGGTACAGTGGTGCCTCGCAAGATGAAATTAATTTGTTCCGCGAGTTTTGTCGTCTTGCGATTTTTTTCGTCTTGCGAAGCACGGTGTCGGGAAAGTTTTGGAAAAGCTTCAAAAATCACCAAAGTCTTCAAAAACCTCAAAAAAGGCTACCACACCGTCTTCTATGAGTTGCTCCTCGAAGTCAAGTCGCAACTGTATTAACGGTGTTAAGAAAAAGGAAACAAACTTGCAAGACGTTTCCGTCTTGCGAAGCAAGCCCATAGGGAAAATCGTCTTGCGAAGCAGCTCAAAAAACAAAAAACCCTTTCGTCTAGCGAGTTTTTTGTCTTGCGAGGCATTCGTCTTGCGAGGTACCACTGTACATTGTGAATTCAAGTACCTAGAATCATAGAATCATAGAGTTGGAAGAGACCACAAGGGCCATCGGCGGATGGCCGATCAAGGATGCATTGTCTTTGGCAGCATTCTCCTTCCACTGGGGCTCCAGCATTACCTTTTGTTTTGCAAAGTTTTAGTTAAAGGACATTTCTCTGAGAGCGATTTTCTTTGATTCCATTTGATTGCAGTGTGGGGGTTGCGTTGCTCTGCTGTTCCTATTGTTACATCGCTATATACTTGTGAGTTGTTCCTCAGGAGGCAGGTTTAAATATTTAGCTGTGTCTATCCGCCTGACCCATTTGCTTGGTGGCAAATAAATAAATTTATAGACAAATACAAACGGAACAGTCAAGTGACGAATAATTTTTTCATATCATCATAAGTTACGGTAGACAATTGATAGTATCGACAATTAATTCTACTTACAGTGGTAATTGATTGAACAAATAATACTGGAATAGATTTTAATAAATAACAATAAGAATAAATAAGAATAATAATAACAACAAATAAATAATAATAAATAGATACATAATAATAGAAATAATAAGAATAATAAATAAAATAAATGGATAAAATAATAATAATAATAATAATAATAAATAAATAAATAAATATATTTAATAATAATAATAATAAAGAGAATAAGTGGAATGGCATCACATACCAAGATTAAATTAATTAATTAATTAAATCTAAGATAAACATATAAATAGATAATTTTTTTAAAAAAATAAATAATTAATAATAAATAATTTACATATATTTAGGAACCCTCAGTTGGTTAGAGCTTGGTGACAATAACGCCAAGGTTGCAGGTTCGATCCCTGTATGGTACAGCTGCATATTCCTGCCTTGCAAGGAGTTGGACTAAATGACCCTTGGGGTCCCACACAATTCTAGAGAGCCTGGATAGCTCAACTGGTTAGAGCATGGTGCTGATAAGGCCAAGGATGCTGGTTTGATCCCGGTATGGGACCCCTGCATATTCCTGCATTGCAGGGGATTGAATGAGATATTATAATATGAAGTAGGAAGCATCTTTAAGAATAATAATAATAATAATAATAATAAAATTAATAAATAAAAAATAAAAAAGAAGTGGAGAGAGAGAGAGAGAGAGAGAGAGAGAGAGAGAAATGAATAACACACGTGCACACATTCTAAGTGGATAAACAATTAAACATTTAATTGAATACTTGGAAGAATCGTTATTTATTATAAGTAAATCAATCGTTATTTAGCACATTCGTTTCAGAATCACCTCTGCCGCCCTCTTCAATGATGCTCAGTTCTCAGGCACAGGCCCAAGCTCTCAGGCAGTAGCAGCAGCAGTGCATACTAGGTCTTGGGCTCACTTGGCATCATCTGGTCCTCAGAACAGCATTGGGTTGCCTGCGCAGAGGCCGCCGGCCTGTGTCAATAACCCTGTTGCATCCAGTTCTTTCAGTCCTTCACAGAATAAGCAGCCCAGGGTCCAGCTTCCAGAATCGGGCACCTCGTCAGCCGGTGAGGAGGAACAACAGCTGGAGGGGGAGCTTCAGACAGCTGAGGTGGCGGTCATCCCGTATGTTGAGAAGAAGCCATTTGATTCTTATTGCATAGGTAAGCCGGACCTAAGAGGCGAGCCAAAGCGCAAGGTGTGTTGGGAATTCAATAAGGGGTCATGCCAAGGGCAGTCTTGTAAGTATCCGCACGAGTGTGAGAGGTGTGCAGGGGTACACCCAGCCGCAGCATGTTACAAAGAGAAGCAGCCCTTTCAGGGAGGTCGGGGGTTCCATCATTCTAGTTCCAGAGGAGCCCCCGCAGCAGGGAACAGACGATAGGGACCCTCTGGGTCTAGCATTTTCACTGATCCAGCTCCCTCCTCTCCGCAACCTCTTGTCTAGCTATCCAGACGAAAGTCAGCATCCTTTCTTTGGAAGGGTTTTTTCAGAGGGTTTCAGAATACCAGTAACCGACTCTTTAATTGCAAAGGATTCCCCTAACCAGAGGTCAGTAAGGGAAAGGCTTGAGGTTGCAGAAAAGAAAATAGCTAAGGAAGTGGCCGCAGGGAGGGTGGCTGGTCCATTTGTACACCCCCCCATCCCAAACCTGCACATCTCGCCCCTTGGTATTGTACCCAAAAAGACCCATGGTGAGTTCAGATTAATCCACAACCTTTCTTACCCTAAGGGTGGCCCAGTATACGATGCCATTCCACCGGAATTGTGCTCAGTAAAATATGCCACCTTCGATCAGGCAGTAAGACATATCCAGAATTTTGGTCATGGGGCACTCTTGGCAAAATGTGACATAGAGTCAGCCTTCCGTCTATTGCCGGTTCATCCCAATGACCTCCATTTGCTGGGACTCAAATTTCAAGGGAAATATTACATTGGCAAGGCTATGCTGATGGGTTGATCTGTAGCCTGCTCGGCCTTTGAGACATTTAGCACCTTTTGGGACTGGGCCTTGCGCTACAGAACCAACTCACCCGGGGTGACGCGTTACCTCGGTGACTTTCTACTCGTTGGGAAGCCCAATATCGGCGAATGTGCCTCCCTTCTGGAGGCCTTTTCAGCTTTGGCCCGGGAGCTGGGAGTTCCCCTCGAGGCAGATAAGACGGACCCACAACGCGCCTTACTTACCTGGGTATAGAGCTTGACACAGCAGCTCAATCCGCCCGCCTGCTAGAGGAGAAAATAATTGCCCTTAAGGAAACAATTCCGGATCACCTATGGAACTTTGGAGACGCGAAGTGATCAAGGGAGTATTTGCGTCTGTTGCACCCTCTACCCTCAGGTCTTATAAGAAAGTATGGTGCGACTTCACGGGTTTCAGGTCCAAAGTATCGTCCCTTTCCCCTAACGTATGAAGCTTAGGTCAATTTGCTGGTCCAAGTTTGAGGCCCAGCTGTTCTCTGCTGCATACGCTATAGCCTTCTTTGGTGCCTTTAGGGTCGGTGAGGTGGTAGCATAAGCTACCTCAAGTGGGAAAACGCGTGGCCTCCTCCTGGAGGAAGTGCACGTGTCCAGTTCAGGTGTGATGGTGCGGGTGCGTCAGTCTAAGACGGACCGAGGCGGTAAGGGCACCATAGTCCAACTCACGGCCTCCAGCCAGAAGGGCCCATGCCCAGTAAAGGACACCAGGCGATACCTTTACCTCAGACCTCCCGGCCTTGGCCCGCTCTTTATTCATGAGGATGGATCCCGATTGATGAGGCACCAGTTCACCAGGGTACTTCGCAAAGCGATAGATGCTTGTGGTTTCCCTTCCAAAGACTACACGGCACATTCATTTAGGATTGGTGTGGCCACAACGTCCACACACATGGGCCTTCCGGCAGACAGGATCAAGGAGATGGGCCGCTGGAAATCTAATGCCTACAAAAGTATTCTGAGAACGCTCCGCTTACCTGTCTTTTCTTTCTTTATTCTTAGCTGTCTTCGGTAGTCCAGTGTGAATTTGCGGCCACAGTATCGTGCATTGGGCCCGCCTCTAGGCAGCAAGTTCCGGCTTCATGCCTAATCTGGGGCTACCATCGTGGGTGCGAGTTTCCTGGTTGTCAAGAAGGGGCATGTGCTGGCAAGAACTCATGCCACTGCTGAAGGCAAAAGCTGCGCTGTTGGGCCCCCCTAACATTCTAATCATTCAGCTGGGTGAGAACAACCCGGCTAGCAGGAAGAGTATGGACTTGTTGTGGTACATGAGTAAGGTCTTGGATGAGTTGGCTGCCTTATTTCCCAGAACAACCCTGTTCTGGTCCTCTCTCTTGAAGAGAAAGGTTTGGCGCGGTGCGCATAACATTATGGCCATCGAGAAATCCAGGAAACTCTTGAATCGCGCGGTAGCGCGTGACGGAAGCCAGCCGTCACAAATGGTGCTGTATAGCATTTGAAAAAAGGACACAGTGAGACAGCAATATTTTCAGGATGGTATGAGCAGCTCCTTCGACCACTCTCCTCCGATTTTATTCTCCTTTGTTCTCTCCTGTCGCATGGCCGTTTGCCAATGTCTCACGTTACTTCATCCGGTCATGGCTTTTACCCACCCATCACCATATAAGGTAATTACTGCCCAGAGGGGGAACATAACTCCATATAAGGTTATACACTTAATACACTGCAAGGCACGGACATGCAGGTCACCGAGGTCAGCGAGGCACCAGGTGGCGCTACAAGCCTTTGCCATGACTTCATGGCTCCCACATGCCCTCTTTCTTTATTTTATTAATCAGAGTCATATATGTCAGTACCAATATGGTTATATCGAGCGCGATAGGCAACTCTTGTGAGGCCGGAAACAGGCCGCTGACGGGAGAACCATGCAGTACATATAGAGATTATAGAAAGAATACATTGTATACAGCAACACAAAATAATGCAAATAACTACTACAGTGGTGCCTCGCAAGACGAAATTAATCCGTTCCGCGAGTGTCTTCGTCTAGCGGTTTTTTCGTCTTGCGAAGCAACCCTATTAGCGGCTTAGCGGATTAGCGCTATTAGCGGTTTAGCGGCTATTAAAGGCTTATCGGCTTAGCGGATTAGCTGCTAAAAGGCTATTAAAGGCTTAGCGTCTTAGATAAAGGGGGGGGGGAAAGCGGAAAAAAAATCTCAAGACTCGCAAGACATTTTCGTCTTGCGAAGTAAGCCCATAGGGAAATTCGTCCTGCGAAGCAACTCAAAAACGGAAAACCCTTTCGTCTAGCGGGTTTTCCGTCTTGCGAGGCATTCGTCTTGTGGGGCACCACTGTATAAGGATCACTAAAATCAATAAATGTCGAAGCCAACTTCCATCCGGAAGCCAAGAATATAAGAATTCTGATTCCAAGCTGCATGGTAGGCTTCCTTTCTAGTTTATTAGCCATGCACTGGTGTCACTCCTATAGCACTGAGATTGGTCACTGTATGTTCCTGTAAGAGAACAAGAGCTATTAAAAGTGAAATTCAATGTATATTGACAGTTTGGATATATGCCCCATGATTCTTTCCCCTCTTTAATTTGAAAACAAATGGGGGCAGGCTCATGGAGGGTCAATTGTACTGGAGGCCAAAAAGATTGCTTAGGGGATATAACATTTGTAAATTGAAAAGATCCATTGACAGGCACACCATGAAGCATTATGCCTGAATGATTAGCAAAAGGCGGCATGTGCATACACAACCAACATTTAGAAGCATGCAATAAACTGGCAAACATAATCATATCTTGTACAAAAATATTATCCCTCCATATCTTATGATAATTTTCTCCCCTAAAAGTCTTATTCAACAACGCTGTTCTTCTAGTTCTAAAGTGGCTGAGCCGTGTATACTGCCAGCCAGAGTAGGATTCAGGCGACAGCTGCTTGCCAGCTGATAAGGTGAAATATGGTGGTTTCAACTGGACTGGGTCGTCTGCTTCTCTTCCTTGTATAACAGTGCAGCAAAGGATGGCGAGGCAGATGGTGAGGAAGGCAAACACTGCCAGATGCAGCTCGTGTGCAGCACCTCTAAGTGGCGCATGCGGAAAGGTTTCAATGCTTCACCCACAAAATGTTGGCAAAGTGTAGGGGAGTTCCGCATGCCTTGAGGCAGGACAACCCACTGATATCGCTGGGTGGGCTGCGAATTGTTATATACTGGCAATGTAAAGCAAACCGTTCCCTGTCTGCTGGAGCCAGTGGGATGAAGATGGTTCAATGTGGCCGAAAGTCAATTGTTCAGAAATAAGCTGTTCAGAAACAAGCTGGTGCCGCTGCTGCGGATTTTTCTTTTGGTAGAGGCCACTGTTCTACCCACACTGGGGTATCGGTGATCCTGGTTTGCCACACTGGAAACAAGTTGTATCGGTGGCAACAGGCTGGTTTTTATTTAGCGCCGCCGCTAACAGATGAGCCTTGTGGGTGGCTGTACCTACAGACTGACAAATGCGAAGCATGGCTGCTGTGTCTGAGGTAGGATTGTGTATTATCGGTCGCAATGCAAGTTTACAATCCTCATTGGCATTTTCAAAGGCCAATTGTTTGATAATTATTTGTTTGGCTTCAGGATTTTCAATTTGGCGACTCACTGCTGTAAGCAGCCTGTCCATAAAGGAAGAATATGATTCTCTTGCCTCTTGCCTGATTGAACCTCACCTTGATTGAATACTGGGTTCTGGGATTTTTCTCATTGCTTGTTTAGCAGCAAGAGCGGTGTCCCTCAATAAGATTTGCAGCAGTGTGGCTTGCACTGAAGCCTGAACAAAGGGACCACGCCCCATCATGGCATCTATGACATCTGCGAGGGTAAGGTTAGGGTTATTCCCTCTGGCTTGTTGTAATAAAGCTGGTGCATAAGCACGGCAGGCGATTTCCCATTCATGGGCAAACAATACACCAGCTGATGGGGGTAACACTGTATGGGCCAAAAGCTTGATGTCATCTGGAACCAAGAGTTGGGCTAATGTGGCTTCCAAAAGCGCCTGCGTATATGGGGCTTGGAGTCTTTTGGTCTTTACTGACTGCTGCAGCTCTTTCAAGATCTTAAAGTCAAAAGGTTGGTGTTGGGCTTGGGTGCCTGCTGGGGCACCAGCAGGGGGCACAATAACAGGGAATGCCATAGTATCCTGAATTAAGGAACAGGCAAGGACTGCACGTTGAAAAGGGATAGCTGGTTCTGTCGCTGAGAGAGTAAGATCATTGCCAGCCAGACCATGGTATTTTTGCAGGATTGGGTCCTCTGGTGAGGAACTGTAGTCTGGAGGTTTGGGGTCTGGGGGTGCTGGCTAGGCAAGTATCGGAACAGACGGTAACACAGCAGGCTGGACTAAAGAAGCTGGAGGTGATGTTGGCAATACAGCCATGGAGATATTTTTTGGAG